TTCCACCATAGCCGAGACAACGAGTCTAGGTAACAGTGGATCAAGATGTTTGTTACAAAGTCGACGAAGCGATTTCCAAACCACCGTTCCTTGCTTGTCATACTAAGCGATGTACAAAAAAGAATATTCTAACAAGACTGTAAAGTGTCAAGCATCCAGGAAGACTCTACAACAACAGGTCCAACACAATCTATATGGTTCAAAGGCATCTACATCTTCTGAGATTCCTCTGCCTTTAAGTAGCACTAAGAATTTTTCTTATCTCTCAACATAGAAATGTTGAATAAAATGTTTTTTTTTGTAGATTAAATTATCTCTTACGGTGTCAATTGAAGATACAGTCTTTTCTTCGTCAAACGGTTCTATATTTTGTGGAGTATGTAATCAAACATTCGTATGAACATTCTAGAACAGCGATTCCCAATTACATTTAACTATGGACCCCCTTAAAATCGTTTGTGTTCGCCATGGATCCCTGTACTAAATAAACAAATTAAACCCCTGGACAAATTAATACACCGTTCATTTTATACACAAAGTTTCTCAAAGTTTAACGCGTAATTCGGCATCCAAATTAATTAATCGGTTTCTTGATTTACTTTTTACTTGAAGTAACGACGACAAATATTGTTCACAAAGATATGTGGATATTGGAAAGGAGATTAAAATTTGCAAAACTTTATTTCCTTAATTCGGCGATTCATTAAAAACGTAAGCCCAGAAATCAGACAAGTTTTTTTCTTCTGTCAATAAAATTTTTTTCCTTGACCTCCATATCCATACAATCTTTGATAATAAACGGATTGCGAATCGATGCCTTAATTCTGCCAGGAAGTGGAAAATATTCTCTGAAGGTGCTTTTTAGATTTGCCAAATGACACATGATTAGTTGTGCTTCCTCATTTGGAAATGTATCTTCAGACATGTTTAAAAATGTCGACAAGTTTTGAAATGATTCCACATTTGCACTTTTGAGTCGATTCTCCAATAATTCCAGTTTCAAAATAGTTGCTTCAATCTTGTCTTCTACCTGGAAACAATTTACATTTTCACCTTGTAATATTACATTCAAATCATTGAGATGAGTAAAGATGTCGGATAAGTACGCCAGTTTGATAAGAAAGGTAGAATTATTTAAATTTNTTCACCTTGTAATATTACATTCAAATCATTGCGATGAGTAAAGATGTCGGATAAGTACGCCAGTTTGATAAGAAAGGTAGAATTACATTGACTTCTTTATGTAATTTCCAAAGTCCCAGTGCAACCAAGGTGATACACGAACTCTTTCTATTAATTGATCTTTTATGTTTTCTGCCATACTTTGAATTCTTCTTTGCACTTTATTGCTGACAACGGAATTTGTGTAATTTCTTTGGCAACTTTATCGCCAATTATTGCAGACAATATAATTTTTGCTGCTGGTAATATGAGATCTTCAGCAATAGTATGAGGTGTACCATTTTGAGCTATTAGTTGGCATACCTTAATGGAGGCTATTATGGCTGAATTGTTTGAAGCTGGTATAGTAATGTGGGACACGCTCCTTTGAATGTTTTTTAATTGTTGTTCTTTCTTTTTAAAAAATCCGTGTTTTTTTGCTGAAACTCTGGGTGCTTTGTTTCAAACTGATGTCTTAACTTAGCTGGTTTGATAGAATCATTTGCTAGAACCTGGCTACAAATAACACATTGCAGTCGTGTTTTGCCAGATTCTGAGGACAGAAATTTTGTAAAACCAAAGGATAAATATTCTGCGCTTTATTGACGGACCTTCTTCTCAACAGGAAGTTTTACATAGGAAGTTAAATAAAACTGGACCTAAAAAACGTATTCTTTCATTTCGAGTTAAAACTGATTTTTCTACATGGAATTTGAGTAACGTTATCTGTTGTTTCATTACCCTGTATAATAAAAAAGTAAAAATGTATTCGCCTTTGTAACATCTACTAACCAAATATTACTTGAAAAAATGTTAATATTGAGTTTGGTTACTTAATTTCTTCTTTAAACGAATTTTGGGAACCTTCACAGAGAACACGAACACTTATAGATTTAAAAGAAGAAGTAGAAAGAAGAGTTAACTTATAACGACGAAGTGGTCGCTAAAAAACAAAATAGGAAATTTAAAAAAATCCCCAAAACGAGTAATATTACCAACCTCCATACCAAAAATGTCCTAGAAAATGTTACATATTTCTTCTGAGAGTAATATCAATCTTTAATATAATATATGTATGCAATTAGTTAATTTCGTATGTTGTAGTTTAAATTTTTACTTTTTTGTAATTTATTTGCCTGCATTATTTTTCACAAATGCGTGGTGGACCCCTCGGGTATGGGATGATTGGGAATCGCTGTTCTAGAATATTCAAAAACCTTCTACATCATTCTTTAAAATATTTAGAAAGATGGTGATATTCTCCAAAAATTCTTCTGTCTAAATACATACATGTATATTCCTAAGTACCTGACATAACTTTCTATAGATAGTGGAATATTGTACAGATTTATTGGTGTGTATTTAGCCTTCTTAAGAGAATCTTTCAATACTCATCAAATGATTGCAATAAAAAGAATCTATTTTTTAGTTATGAATCTAAAACAATAGACATATTATGTGGTAGCAACATTTTCGTTTTTGTAATCAGCCCGTTATCCCACATCATATCAAAGACCTGAGAAACATTTAAAAAAGCAGCAGTGCAATATTTTTTATATTCCAAGGCATCTCTACAGTTATTACAACATTATGGATCTCTTCCACCGTAATATATTGAGCAGAACTAGTAATCTGATATTAATTACTTTCTGGATAGAGTATCCTACAGTGTACTCAACAGAACTTCGATATGACGTCACATTTACTGGATCTTTATTCGGCTTGAGGATCATAATTATTTGATATAGATTATTAGATTATTATTAGATTTACATTNTCCCAGTGCAACCAAGGTGATACACGAACTCTTTGTATTAAATGATCTTTTATATTTTCTGCCATCTTTGAATTCTTCTTTGCACTTTATTGCTGACAACGGAATTTGTGTAATTTCTTTGGCAGCTTTATCGCCAATTATTGCAGATACCATAATTTTTGCTGCTGGTAATACGAGATCTTCAGCAATAATATGAGGTGTACCTTTTTGAGCTATTAGTTGGTATACCTTAAAGGAGGCCATTATGGCTGAATTGTTTGAAGCTGGTATAGCAATGTGGGACACGCTCCTTTGAATGTCTTTTAATTGTTGTTCTTTCTTTTTAAAAAATCCGTGTTTTTTTGCTGAAACTCTGGGTGCTTTGTTTCAAACTGGTGTCTTAACTTAGCTGGTTTCATAGAATCATTTGCTACAACTTGGCTACAAATAACACATTGCAGTCGTGTTTTGCCAGATTCTGAGGACAGAAATTTTGTAAAACTAAAGGATTAATATTCTGCGCTGTGTTGACGGACCTTCTTCTCGACAGGAAGTTTTACAAAGGAAGTTAAGCAAAACTGGACCTAAAAAACGTATTCTTTCATTTCGAGTTAAAACTGATTTTTCTACATGGAATTTGAGTAACGTTATCTGCTGTTTCATTACTCTGTATAATAAAAAAGTAAAAATGTATTCGCCTTTGTAACATCTATTCACCAAATATTACTTGAAAAAATGTTAATATTGAGTTTGGTTACTTAATTTCTTCTTTAAACGAATTTTGAGAACCTTCACAGAGAACTAGTAATCTGATATTAATTACTTTCTGGATAGAGTATCCTGCAGTGTACTCAACAGAACTTCGATATGACGTCACATTTGCTGGATCTATATTCGGCTTGAGGATCATAATTATTTGTGATACTTTCCATTGCATGAGGATTACGTTAGATTTACGTTAATAAGGCCTTCATCTGAAATTAGCTTTAGAATTGATGTTGGCAATCAGGTCTGAACCGGTTGATTTCTTTGGTATCAGTCTATCAATAATTTGAGCTTATATTATTATGACCTTGATAGTTATATGTAAATGTCTGAGAAGATATTGAGATCTCAATATCTAAAAATTAGTGACAACCGCCTATTTCAATTTGACATTTCTTTTAAATTAGATTAATGAAAGCAATTGATTTTTCCAAAACAATTCGGAATTAAGTGATTATACTTTATGGACTTATAAGAAAATGTGTAATGCTTAGTTTACCGAATTTAAAGTTTGTAGGGTGAACAATTTTTTTAATAAAAGTTATTGAAAACCACCTATTCGAGTTTGACATTTCTTTGAAATGAGATTAATGAAAAAAATTGATTTTTTCGAAACGGTTGATAGGTGAGATCTGATAATCAGCCTGATTTTGGTTTGTCTAACTCGCAGCAACATACAGCAAAGCGGGGCAAGTGGTCACGAGACGTGGAGATGAAGTTTTCCACACTGCTCTCTATTTTGCTGTCTATGTTGGTAAATAAATTGAACATAGCGCTTATCTATTTCGAAATTTTCTAACTATTTTTCTAAGTGTAGACAAATTAGTACTTGGTTTGGTTGTGGTTATCAACTTGTATCGAAGTCCTACAAGTACTTATCTGTTTGATTCTCCTTTTAAGTACAGCTATGTGAAATCATTTCGTTTAAAGTAAGAAGTATATATTTGTTTCTTATATGTAAACTTCCACATTTCAGATATTGATTTTTCGTTAGCACTTCTTAGAATCTAGTACGAATACTTGATGACAATATTGTAACTCCTTTGAGTTTATTATTTCGAATTCACTGGCTTTTATTATACATTTCTCCTTTGTAATATTACATACCGTTCAATAAAAGAATATTCATCTTGTACAAAAAGTTTCCGCGCAACAAAATTTCAAGATTTATGGATTTGTTAAAAAAATCAATTATCAAATTTGTCAACAAAACATTAATATCAACACAATGTTTCAAGAAAACTCTAATACATGGGATGGATTTCATCATAAATAAAACAAGATAACCTAAAAAATAAATAAATAATATTTAACTTACCTATTGCATTCCTTTTGTGTTTCACACCAAGCTAAATAAGCCGTAAACAACTCATTATGAGCATGATTTTCCCTGCAATAATGTTGACACCGCGCTTGTTCCGCACAATATTGATAATAGGCCTGAAAAGAATCTTTCATTCCCAAAAATCCTTGCGCCATCATTTCTATACAAGGTGGTTGTTTGTATTGCCTCATCGTTTTAACCATCGGAAATAAACTATTCCTCCAAAATTGAACGTTGGTATCCAAAATTTCGGTGATGTTTGAAAATAACTTTTCTGTATCAATTTCCTTTAGGAGGTTGGTTAATTGTAAATTCTTCAAACAGGCGAGAAACAACTGTGGGCAAAACGAGGAAATGGAAAAGCCGTATGTGTTGTAAATTATAGGTGGTTATTTCCTGGTTTTAGGTGTCGACGGTATCGGGAATACGAAAACGGAAACTGGAAGTTGTAAGTTATGGGAAGGAACAGCTCTTAACTTACCTCAGTGACTACTTTTAATGTTTTGATGTAGGCCACTTCGGTTTTAATCAATTCCCAAAGTGCTGTTTGCTGTTGTTGTTGTCTCTCGGTTAATTCTAAAATACAAACAAGAAAATAGAATCTATCTATTCTACGTATCTACCCTAAATAACATATATAAAACTATCTTGTAATTGAAATAAATAGAAATAAAAGTTTTCAAAGTTAATTTTCAATTTAAACACAACTTCCACTTTACCTTTATAGTCTATAAGCTCCCTCCAGTCTAATTCCAGTTTGTAGAGAGCATCGAGGGATTCACACTGTCCTTGGGGGTAAATCTGTGATGTAGGAACTCCGTGCTTTGTATAACTATTTAGATGTTCAACTAAAGCTTCCATTTTCGTATCCTTAAAACAACAAAAACCCCAACCACGCGAATAAAATCAAATAAAATCACGTAATGTAGACGAAACGTGCACGAAATACAAAATAAAAACAACAAAAATCAGAAAAATCTTAAAAAATTGAAATAGTTACAACCCGAATCGATCGGACGTCGCATAATTTCGTGACGATTCCTCGAAATCCCTTCACATAGAGTATGTAAAATATTTAATGGGCTATTAGAGGAACTTGTAAACACAAAGCAAACATATTTACTAGTTCTCTTATATTTTCTTACCTTGCTGTAACCAAAGAGTCCCGACCATCGTTGTTTTCCTTGTTTTTTATTTCCGTCCGTATCTTGAAACGAAAGTCTGGATTCGTGTGAAGTCCACGTATTGTCTTCGGTACTTGAACCAAAAAAACTACCCGATTTCTGTCGCGTACTCTAAAAACACAAAGAAAAAAAAATTTTTAAATGTAAAGGGTGTGTTTTAAAGAGGAGAAACGAGGAAGTCGGCGAGCTTTGTAACTGAAGCTTTAAACCGTGCTAAACCAGGGGGGTTAATCAAGTATTAATTGAATGGAACACTTACCCCTGAATATTTCCTTACTGGGGCCTTCGTTCCCGTCTCTTTTGCTAAAAAATTAAGGATTTAAATGGGGTTCAGGTAAATTTGATTTAAAATTTTTTACCGGTAATCCTAATGTGACGTCCAACGAGACTTGCTGTATCTTGCGAGAAATGTAATAACGTATTTGTGTTATTTTCTTTGTCTTGAAGCCATACATCGCAATTTGATAAATCTATATTTCGTATTTCGCAAAGTTTTGTTAATGAATCACTGTAAAAATAAAAACAAAAATTTTTTAGGACTTTTAAGATCAATTTCTGGTAGAAAAATAAATTCAAAATCGAAAATAAAGAATACATTTTTAACCTATTTCTTTTCGTTTTTAAGATATCCCTCTTTAAATCCATCAATGTTGCGTTTTTTGTAAAAATAAGACTTTTAATGGAAATATCTCAAGAACGAAAACAAATATAAAAAAATTTTATTCTTAATTTATGATTTAAAAATGATATATCTACGCGATTAACTCATACGATTTCTTATTAAGGTGATTGTTAATAAGCACCATTCGAAAAAGCACCAAAAGTGTGAGATTTTGAGGTTGACTTTTCTTTTTTCATCTTCTGCTTTGTTAGGAAAACTTTTTCAGAAACTTTATGATCTATATTCGATACAAAAATGAATTTAAAATCGAAAATAAAGAATAGATTTTTATGCCATTTCTTTTTGTTTTTGAGATATCTCCCTTTAAATTCATCAATGTTGGGTTTTTTGTAAAAATAAGATTTTTATGGGAAATATCTCAAGAACGAAAGCAAATATGCAACAAATTTATTCTTAATTTATGATTTAAAAATGATATTTCTACCCGATTAAGTCATATAATTTCTTGTAAAGGTAATTGTTAATAAGCACAATCCGAAAAAGCAACAAAAGTGTGAGATTTTGAGGTTGACTTTTATTTTTTCAACTCCTGCTTTGTTAGGAAAACTTTTTCGAAAACTTTATGATCCATATTCGATACAAAAATGAATTTAAAATCGAAAATAAAGAATAGATTTTTATCCCATTTCTTTTCGTTTTTGAGACATCTCCCGTTAAATTCATCAATGTTACGTTTTTTGTAAAAATAAGACTTTTATGGGAAATATCTCAAGAACGAAAGCAAATACGCAAAAAATTTATTCTTAATTTATGATTTAAAAATGATATTTCTACCCGATTAAGTCATATAATTTCTTGTAAAGGTAATTGTTAATAAGCACAATCCGAAAAAGCAACAAAAGTGTGAGATTTTGAGGTTGACTTTTATTTTTTCAACTCCTGCTTTGTTAGGAAAACTTTTTCGAAAACTTTATGATCCATATTCGATACAAAAATGAATTTAAAATCGAAAATAAAGAATAGATTTTTATCCCATTTCTTTTCGTTTTTGAGACATCTCCCGTTAAATTCATCAATGTTACGTTTTTTGTAAAAATAAGACTTTTATGGGAAATATCTCAAGAACGAAATCAAATATGAAAAAAATTTATTCTTAATTTATGATTTAAAAATGATATTTTTACGCGATAAACTCATACAATTTCTTATAAAGGTGATTGTTAATAAGCATCGTTCGAAAAAGCACAAATAGTGTGAGATTTTAAGGTTGACTTTTATTTTTTTATCTCCTACTTCGTTAAGAAAACTTTTTCAGAAACTTTAAGATTTATTTCCGGCACAAAAATAAATTTAAAATCGAAAATAAAGAATAGATTTTTATCCCATTTCCTTTTGTTTTTGAGATATTTCCCTTTAAATTCATCAATGTTGGTCTTTTTCCATAAATAGGAGTTTTATGGGAAATATCTCAAGAACGAAAGCAAATATAAAAAAATTTTATTCTTAATTTATACTTTAAAAATGATATTTCTACGCGATTAACTCATACGATTTCTTATAAAGATGATTGTTAATAAGCACAATCCGAAAAAGCATAAAAAGATATTGATATTTTCAGGTTAATTTTAATTTCTTCGTCTCTTGTTTCGTTAGAATGATTTTTTCAGAATCTTTAAGATCATTTTCTGACAGAAAAATAAATTTAAAATCGAAAATAAAGAATAGATTTTTATCCCATTTCTTTTCGTTTTTGAGATATCCACCTTTAAATCCATCAATGTTAATCATCATAATAATACTAAAATATGACACATTATATTGATAATTTTGAGGAGAAATAATTAATATATAATTTGAAATCGCTCTACTAAATTATAATTATAAATTTAAATGGTTTAAGCTTTAATCCTTATTTCTGTAGTTAGATTAATTAAACCGGATATGGGATATAGGATCGTAATAATTGTTTGATGCGTACGTGCTTAAATTTTAGTTGAAATTATGGGTGCTTTTGCCAACGTACAACTACAAGCAGGTAGAGGAAATGGAGAGAGAATGCTTAAATGTCAGAGTAATTTATCTCAAACTTTTAATTAAATGAAGACTTACACTGGAATTCACGAAACTAACTACTACTACTACTACTACAGCCAAACTTTTTTTGGCTTATGTGAGGATTTACATTCGGAACGGAGTTAAAAAAGAACAAATTTAGGATATTTTGCCTTTGTATGTTATATGGGCACGATTGAATAATATATTAAATTTCTCCCTCTTTACAACGTTTGCACAATTTCATTTCACATCCCGATCGATTCTTTTGGTAAAAAAAAAGCGCACAAAAGTGGAGCAATTGAAACAGAAATAAATCTTTCCGATACAGGAGTTAAATCGGATCAAAAAGACCAAATCGTTTTAAAACTTATGACGTCCTTAAAATTTTATTCAATTGATTTCCCAAGAGTTGTGTTCGAAATTTCAATATATAACTTAACTTACTGTAAAGTGGTTCCACGTGTTGCCGGAAAGAATAATTCGTTATCCCACGTAGATTCATCTCCAACCTCGAAATTAACACTAAAACATTCACTGCTCGATTTCTGAAAGAAAAAAATATTAAAATTAAAAAAAAAAGATTATTAAAAGAAAAAATAACGTTAATTAAATCGACGACAGTTTAAATTACCTTATTTAAAACAAATTTAAAAAGATCAAAGCGAAAGAATTAAATTTAAAAATAACCTAAATTTAACAAAACGATATTTTCGTTCGATTTCGTTGATATTTTAGCTATTAAAAAAACTACACCACAAGGTCGACGTTATTTTTAACTTAATTACCCAAGAGATTATTTTTTTTGTAATAAAGAAAATCTTAATTAAAAAATATCTAATAAATCATCTTTTATTTCAAAGGTCTGAAAAGTAATAAACTATGGGGTTCATCTAATAAACCCTCTCTCATTTTAATACGTTTCGGTCAAATTCTGTGGCGAGCGCGTCACAAAACCGATTGAAAAGAGATTTTCTCGTTTTAATCAAGGGAAAAGGGGTGATTTATCAAGTCAGTCCCTGTAAAGCACGAACCATCCGCTTCAACCCAACATGTCAATGGATCAATGTCAGAGCGTTTAATTTTTAATCTAAATTAACACTACAGGGTTAAATTTAACTCTCTTATAACGATAACATCGAAAATAACTTACGAAAATAACCGCACATTAAGCCTAAATAACCGTGTGGAGGTAATAGAAAAGATATTATTAAGGTCAACAGAAATCATTAATCATAATTCCAATTTGTATGGGAAAATTTAAGCAAATAGATTTGAAGGGGGTAAATGGTTCTTTTTTGTAGGAAAAAAGTGTAATCAACAAAAAAATAATCGTATGTTATTATCATTGATCAATCATGTAATTCATTACGTTTACTTCGAATCGATTACATCGTGTTTTGATACGGTTAAATTATTTCTTGTGGTTAAAATCGAATCTGAAATGTTTATTTTTGATGCGATTGTAATGTTCATAATTTCACTTCAAACTAATACAGTAAAACCTCGATGTAATTAGTTCTAGTTTCAATTCAATAAAAATATACAACAATTTAGCACTAAATAACAACTAAAACTAGAGCTAACAGTAGCACTAGAACTAACACTAGACCTAGAAACATTCGAGTTTAGTCGTGCTTCTCTGAATAACAATTAAAACTAGAACTATCGTGTTTAATTTATACATCGTATAGACAACTCGGGGAATACCCCAAGTTTATCTATGAACACGGAATAGAGCAAGTTGGGAAATAACCCGAGTTGGATTCTATTTATGAGTGTTAACATTTATATTTAAATATACTGATGTATTAAATAAATAACATTAATAGGGTAAAGCATACAATTATTGGACTGTAATAGTTATTGGACAGATTATTATTCAATTCCTAAATATATTTTACGGTCTGTAGAATAGCGCAACGTAGGCAGTTTAGTGTTTCTAATCTTAAAGGGTAAACTATTTCAATGTCCAATAACTGTATTATACTCAGTGTGGATAATTATTAGACACTGTGTCAAATAGCTATACATTTCTACTTTTAGCTATAGGCCTTAATTTTTCTTAAGGTTATCAAAAATGACCAAAAGGTAATTATATAATCCGATACACATGTTGTTGGCCCTTCAAGAAATGCAGAAAGGTAAATCTTCACTATGAGATATTGCCAAAAAATATAATGTGCCCAAATCAACCCTTGATTTTAAAGTCAAACATGTGGCGCATAAAGAGAGTTTTGGCTCTGATACCGTTTTAACTGAAAACGAGGAAAATTGTTTAGTATATTGGATAAAGAAGATGGCTAATAGAGGTTTTCCTAGGAATAAAGAGAATATGATCCCTGAGCAAGCAAATAATAATATTCCTATTGAATCAAATTCTGATTACTATCAAAGTACAAAAGTGGAACATCGCAACGAATTTAGTCAAATCAATTAATCGATCCAATGTGGTTAAATCAGGTTTTTTTGCCGAAAGACTATCATTTGCAATAGCATCGCAAATTTTCAGGAAATGCACGAACAGAAGAAGAGAGTATTATAGATAGAAGTAAAACGACGAAAAGAAAAAAGCTTAATGAGGAAAGGAAAATGACAATTACAAAAAAAGACGCTAAACTGAAATGTTTTTTTTTGCGGCAAAACGTGTCCAAATAAGACTAACGTGAAGTGCGAGGAATGTAAACATAGTTTCTATAAGAAATGCGTTCCAAAATCTCAGCGAATTCATATATGTCCTCATTACGACAGTTATCTATGCCATACTTGTTACAAAGAAGAGACGATGAACTCAGGAAATGAACTTTATAAGGACTCATCTGATGACGATTTATTGAATACAGTTAGAACAAGATGAAACTAGCCAAGATAAGAATATTAATAACACAGCTCATGAAACCTTGAAATCATGAAATCATACGTGGAGATATCCAGACTTACAGTGAAAATCTTCCTCGGCCTATTTACGTTTTAAAAGTAATTCGCACGCCCTCAGAAACAACGATGTTGCCAAATTCACAGAAATCGGGACAGTCTACCAGTGGAAGTGAAGTTATTTTATCAAAATGAACTCAGTGATTTAATACGTGATCTCAATTTATCAAAACAAGGATCAGAACTGTTAGCCTCAAGATTGAAAGAAAAAAATGTATTGGCTCCAACAGTAACAATTACAACATACAGAATGCGTGAAAGTGAGTTATTGCAATTTTTTAGTGAAAATGAAGGACTGGTGTATTGTAATAATGTCGTGAAGCTGCTTCTAGACATGGGTTTAAAAGAATACAAACCTACTGAATGGCGTCTTTTTATTGACAGTTGTAACAGAAGTTTAAAATGCGTCTTACTGCACAATGGAAATAAATTTGCATCAATTCCAATTGCACATTCAACAAAACTCAAAGAAGAATATGAAAATGTAAAATTAGTTTTTGAAAAAATTAATTACTCGGAGCATCAATGGTCGATTTGTGTGGATTTGAAAATGGTTAATTTTAATAATAATAATAAACTTTATTTCCATTTCCAAAACAAGTATATATATATATACAAACAAACAGTAAAAAACCAAAACGATATACATGGAAATGAAAATTGGCGATGTTTCGTCTGACGCAAAATTGCGACAAGACGCTTTTCAAACATAACCTTTACATTACATATGCATTACATTAAACACAAAAAAAAAAAAAAAAAAAAACCAAATTTAAAAAAAGAAACAAAAAAAAAAAAAAAAAAAAAAAAGAAGCACAATTGATCAAATGAACTCAAAAAATAAACTACAAACAACAAAAGAACAACGATAAATTAAATTTTCCCTAACCTTAAAAAAGAGAAAAAAAAGATAAAACAAAAACTTAGTATTATATGAAATGCAGACCCATCATCGAACGAAGCAGAAAAAACAGAGAAACAACAGTTCACTGTTACATTGAATAATTCACTGAATCAGCCACAGAGCTTGAAACTGCGACGGGCGTCAGACACGAAAGCCAGAGAGAGCACAGAGGTATCGTGTGTACTTGATTTTAAATTGTTTCGACGCGCATTTTTTAAACTCATTTGGTAGCGAATTGTATTTCAAGACTATCTGATATGAGAAGCATCGTTTAAAAAACTCTATCCGGTGTGCAGGTATTTCAAGCAAGCCTCTATGTCTGAGATTGAGATTATGCACATCTGTACGATAAGTTAATTTTTCGTACAGATATGGTGGTGACTTATTGGTGATAATTTTGTGATACATACATAAACAATGCAATAAACGTCGGTTCTCCATGTTTAACCACTTCACTTCTTTTAATTTGTACGATATAGGTTGACGGCTACGAATACCATATATCAATCTCAGACACGATTTTTGCATTTTCTGTATTCTACCCACATCCACCGCTGACAAAAAAGCGCCATAAACAGTGTCGCAATAGTTAAATCTAGACAGCACTAGTAAGTCGCATAGTAGTTTTTTGTATTTTGATTTAGTGAAAACCTGTTATTAAAAATCACCTTTAGTGCCGCGAAGGCCCTCTGTATGGTGAGATTGATATGCTTTGTAAACGACAGCTGACCGTCCATTATTACACCCAGACTTTTCACCGTATTTTGTACTTCAATATGATGTCCATCTATAACTAAGGTTATTGGGCCTAAAAGTGAGCGCGCATGATCCGTGCCAAAGACAGTAGCTGTAGTTTTAGCGCTATTGATGTGTAGGGAGTGATCTCTCGAGAATTGTAAAATATTTGATATATCGTTGTTAATAATACCCATGGCGCGTTGAAGATCTGAAGGTAGAAACGAGTAATAAATCTGGGTGTCATCAGCGTACGAGTGAAAATTACAATGTTTTAAGCGTTCTGACATTGTAGATGTATATGTATTGTATAGAATAGAACTCAGAATACCACCCTGCGGTACACCAGAGACCAGGGGCTATGGACGGGACAGTTGACCATTCAGAATCACTCTCTGTGACCTACCCTTTAAATACTGGGAAAGCAGTGAGAGGGAATTCTCACCGAGACCGCTGTAATGCAAGATGGAGATAAGGGTATCAATGTCGATTGAATCAAAAGCTTTGGAATAATCGATGAGGACCAAGACTGTAACCAGGCCCCTGTCAGAGGCGCGGACGATGTCATCACAAACATGCAGTAAAGCTGATTCGCAGCTATGCAAAGCTTTTTTACTTGGTCAACAAAGTGAATACACGAAATACCCTTGCTTCATTTGCTTCATCTGGGAACAAGATGTTTGGCCTGTAAGACATTCTTTAACTGTGGGTAAAGCCAATGTAATAAGGGAGCCGTTGGTGAGCAGAGACAAAATCATACTTCCACCATTACATATTAAGTTAGGAGTGAAAAAGCAATTTGTAAAAGCGTTGGACAAGGAAGGAGATTGTTTTCATTACATTTGTATAAAATTTCCGAAACTTAGTATGAAAAAGTTGAAAAATGGAATATTTGATGGTCCTCAAATACGGCAATTGATGAAAGACACAGATTTTATTTTTTTGATAGTCGAAAATTTCCTAGCTAACCATAAAGCACCAAATTATGAAGAAATTGTACAAAATATGCTGACAAACTTTCAGACTCTAGGAGGAAACATGAGTATCAAGTTACACTATCTCCGCAATCATCTGGAACAGGGAGACCAGGATCTAAAAGTTATGGAGGAAAGGTATCAGGGTCGATGGGATTGTCACATGATGACAGATTACTGCTGCTGGTCTTTACAAAGAGATTGTCCCCTGAAAAATTATAAAAGAAAAGCTCATAAAAGGTGTTTTATGGAAATATAACGTATGGTTTCGACAGTTGCCTCTCCATTTACTTCGATGTATCCTCATTTTTAAAACAAAACTGACATTATAAATATATATAGCAAATCTTACAAAATCTTTGATAGTTTCATGAATTGTGAGCATAAATATATCCAAAATCAATCTTATATTTAGGGCAGCAAAACCACTGTAGACCAGTGTAATGATCCTTGTAATATCAGTAAATATAGTAGATATCAGTAAGACAAGAAATAGCAGAACAACGAAAAAGTACAACTTGAAGAATTGAATAGAGGTGAAAAATAGGTACTTTACACAATGAATACATAGTGAAATGAAAAAAAAAATATCCTAAATAAGCGCGTTGTCTGTATAATATCAAATTTCAGCAGTAATAACTATAACATTGCCGCCCAAAAACTATAATAAGTCCAATGTCTGTACTTTTGCAATAAATAATTAAAAATGTAATTGGTGCTTTCAGTATTATGTACGACATCAGATAAGGTACTACATTTATGCAAAATGGGCAGAGGAATAATATAAGAAACGCAAATTTGCGTTTTCATTATATACTTAACTATTTTTTAAAAAAGAATCATCTAAGAAAAGTATGGAATCGAGGAACTGAAGCACTTCAATTTGACAAAAAGATTGAAGAAGTCTAAACCCTTCGAGCTAGTGTAGTGAAGTGAGTGAAAAGCAGAGTACTTGTGCGATGGTAACATATTAAAATTAGTGTAGTTCAATTATCAAAACTTGAGATGCCCTATTGATCAGAACCTTACTATCGGTGCCAAAAGTCGAATTGAACCCATAGTAAAAAATGTTAAATAACACTGTTGGGTATACTCATAGATGGTATACTTTAGTCTAAGTTTTTTTTGTGATTATTGTGATTATTTCAAATTGTANCAAAAAATGAATTTTTAGAAGCATTTTCTAGGTTGACACGTTACATTGCAACCAACTATGCGGACAATACTGAATGTATGTTCGCATACGATACAATAAACAAAAATATTCGCCAGGAATTATTACATAAAAGCATAAAACATCCGAGAATATTTCAATAAAAATTAATTTTAGATGTATAATAGTATAGATGTTTAGTTAATTAGTTTTAGTCTATTAGGTAGTTGTATCTGTCTTAAACAATAAAGTTATGAAAAATGACAAAAACATGATAATGTATTTTTTTGTTTTTACCTTTTCAATCGTATACTTTTAAAGCAAACAAAATTTCTCATAGTGATTAATTTCTGATAGTAAATAAACAAAAATTTCATTGTTAAAGTGCAAAAACAAAAAGATTTTTTTAATTTGTTTTTAAAATTGCTGGTTACTACTTTTTGCACAAGTATTAAAATTTATGTTACATATTACGACAACCTTGGTTATAACGAGGTACCGTCTATAGCGAGCAATTTTTTCGGTCCCTTGACTGCTCGTTATAACCGGTCTTCACTGTATTTTGTTTCAATTACTGAATGTCCATTCTAATATATTTGTCTTGTCTGTTAAAATATGAGTTCGTCACGAAGAAAGTGTAAATATAGTAGTCGAGGAGACCTATGTTGAATATCTCGGATTCAAAATGGATAAACTAGATAAATCATGGGTTCCTCATAAAGTTTGTAAGTTCTGTGTAGAGATTTAGATTGCCGTTTACAAACGGACGTTATTTACACTGATTTTTCACGCGCATTCGATCAACTCGACCATGATATTCTGTTTCGAAAAATTAAGAAGTTTGGTTGCGATTTAAGTCTTTCGTTGCTTCTGAAATCGTACCTAATCAGGTCGAAGCAAATAATGGTCACGAGTGGTGTGCCACAGGGTGTTTAAGACATTTACTGCTTACGGTGTTTGTGAATGAATTGCCAAATTTGTTCAAAAGTTTTACATTAATGTATGCCGACTATCAGAAGCTTTTCAGAACAATTGAATCGGACAATGATTGTACCAGCTTGCAGGAGGACTTGACCAGGTTGTGTTCATGGTGCCAATCAAATGGGTTGTTATTGAACGTTGCAAAATGTCAAATCATGACTTATACAAATAAAAGAGAAGTTATTCCTTATGATTATCCGTTGGAAGATATAAGTCTTGAATGTGTGTCTGAAGTTAAGGATCTGGGGGTTTGGTTCGACAGTTAACTGCTGTTCAGCGGCCACATAAGTAAGCTGTTCTCTGATGTCCTGAAACTCCTCGGGTTTATCACTCGAAACAGCTGCGAGTTTGCCAGGTTGAGCTCAGTGTCCACTCTCTATAAAGCGTTCGTGAAAAGTAAATTGGAGTATTGTGCAATTGTCTGGTCACCAACAACTCAGAATAACATCTCTGCAATAGAAAGGGTGCAGAGGAAATATGTTAAATATATACATTTCCTAGAATTCGGATATTAACCTCCTAGAGGAAGTGATTACTATCATGCGTCACTTCAGCGATATGATCTCACTTCACTCGAATCAAGACGACAGCAACTTACTGCTTGGTCGTGTGATAGCACCTGAACCTAAGTAAAAAACAAGTGTGATTTCCAGAAAGACCTTGAAATAGAGACAGTTAATCTAATAATTCTCAAAATCGCAACACGTGAATGCTGAAGTACTTCAGCTCCTCGACAACACCAATTTGACAAGAAGATTGAAGAGGTCTAAACCCTTCGAGCTAGTGTAGTGAAGTGAGTGAAAAGCAGAGTACTTGTGCGATGGTAATATGTTAAAATTAGTGTAGTTCAATTATCAGAACCTGAGATGCCCTATTGATCAGAACCTTACTATCGGTGCCAAAAGTCGAGTTGAACCCATAGTAAAAAATGTTAAATAACACTGTTGGGTATACTTTAGCCTAAGTTTTTTTTGGGATTATTGTGTTAAAATAGTAAGCGTGTTGCTTATTTGACCAAAATGTAATTAATAAAAAAAATGTTAATGATTTGAAAAATTTTAAAAATAAAAAGGCATAATAACAAGCACAAGAGTCGTTACAACCAACGAGTATTTCTGACCCGTGTTCCAACTCGTGTTCTCTGATATTAAAATTTCTCTGAATCGAAAATGAATTTCATTATTAAGGGTTAGTTTAATAACAGTTATAAAACATTGCCAATTTTAAATTTTTAATTAAATTTCGATCAAAAACTTACTTTGTTCTAGAATTTTGTAAATAAAAATATATAATCTAATAAAATAATTTAGTTGAAACATTATAAATTACGATGAACTAATTGAATCGTTAACCAATAACTTTTTTATATTAAAAAAAAGTGACCGAAAATGTCGATAATCATGAAATCCGATCACGTTAGTGGATGTAATCAATCTAAAGACCGTCCGTCGTTGCAAAGAAAAAAGAAACTGAAAGAAATGTGACGACAAGAAGGTAACAACAAAAAGAAATCGGAAGACGACGAAACGGCAAAAATCTCGCTCGTAACGTTACGAGAATCTAAAATCGTTCGATATAGAACCTTATGGTATATCAGTAAATGAAGACCTGACAGTTCGGATTGATAAATACCTACCTGCCGTCGAGTTTGCGAGTTTAAAGGTTGAAGATACCATTCGTATGCAAGCCTGTGCACGAAAGGGGCACGGTTTTTCACGGTGACGTCAGCAACCTTTCAGGAATTATGTTGCCAAAAGAAAATCGATAAGATATCACAAAAACAAGTTTGATTTAAAACTAAAAATGTTTTGATTCATTCAAAATGAAACACAACTAATAGAATTAAGGCGTTTTAGAAAATGAATTAAATCGATTTATAAAAAAATTAATCCTTATACACGCATTGATGTTATTATTAATCCTTGAGAAATGTATTCCGGGTTTACAGACGACACCGCGGTCGTTTCAGGTCCGTTTCATTCGGTTTCGATGACAAAGTGGCATCGTTACCCGTAAACATCGGATACACACGGGGCCCCCGTATTCATTTTGCAAACGCTTCGTTGGGGTTACAATGCGCATTTTTCACTTACCATGGAAGCAGGGTTTCGCGGGGTTGGGTAGGATTTTAATATCACAACCGTTAATCTAGGCAGAAGGGTGATGGAGGAAGGCTTTAGAATCCATTTCCTTACCCAAACCCCATCAACCAACCCTTAAAATCTTCCTTAATTTGTTTGTATTCAATTAGTTTCGATCGTATTCACACTTTGTTAAAGTAAATGAGAATAAGATTACTTTTAAGAACGTAATTTTTTAATTTTATAATTCTAACGTTTCATTTTTTGTTTCAAAAAAATTATCTACTTACTTGTGATCTGCTAAGAACGTGACGTTTGGACGTTTGGATTTCATTTGGTGATGTTGGAGCTTCTACATTCGTTTCAGGTGGAATCAATAAAGGTTTTGTACAATCCGGTTCGGATCTTGAATCTTTTAATGCCGTTGTATCGGGGGATGTCGGTGCACCATACCTCATTTCTAACGTGTCTAAGTGATTTAAACTTCTTGAACGAACCTTAAAAAAAATTACGATTTAATTTCTAACGTTACAAAAAGAATAAAAAATTAAAACTACCTCTAAATCACATTACAAATTAATCAACCTGAAAACCTACAAATCTTTTAAACTTTTAACTGTACCCGAAGGATTTATAGTCAAAAGTTTCAACTTTAAACCGATTGTTTAGTTTGTTTCAAGACAACCTTTAGCGTTAGAGAAGATATTGAGGGCATGCAAATGTGCTCCCGTGAAGTAAACTCCCTCTCAACTTCCTTCATATTTTTGCAAACGCAGCAAAAACAGTTTTTTCTCCGTTGCATAAGTTGAAACTGTGTGAGAACAAAACGTTATTGCTTTGTACTTAACTGGCACGTTGCCAGCTACAAAACCGGGAATCACAAATCTGTGCAATCGCTCGTTGTGCACTGACACGATCAACGATTAAGACCTGATGATGGTACCCCTTCGAGCTACAACTCCACCTCGTTCCTGATAATTATCAGAGTACAAACCGTTTCAGCCCGTAACCCCCTTTCCGGGATAGCCGGTTAAAACACGTCGGGATTTGACGCCCGCTACGCGTCACGAAATGTAATACTGATGGATTACAGAGGGTTTAATCGATTAAATTTTTTTCACTCAATTTCGTGAACGTGTCATCATTTAAAGCGAGTTCGTTAATTTACAGTTAACAAAGTTTAGATTACAATTAACGTTTTCAATTAAAATTCAAATTCGCCCTTAGAAATTATTATTACAATGAGAAATGTAATTTAATGTGGATAATAATAACATTTATGAAAGATCTTAATTGAATGAAAGGGTTGATGGAGTTGAAAGTGAACCAATACTAGACGAGTAGGTCTAGAGTATAGGCCATCAGCAGACAAAGTCAATTAGTTCGGCAAGTTCGGGAGACGAAAGGGTTATTTTTGTCGTAAACTAAAATTGATAGGTTCTTTATTATCAAGGGAATTGAAAAATTGATTTTAACTGACATCTAAGGTTTGTTCGTTTTTCATTTCGTCTTTGATTTTGTCTTGATATTAGCTTCATTTAATTCAATTACGAGGCGATTTTCGATTATTTTTACAAGAATGTCCAGAAAAGATTTTTTAATATATACCTGTTCTTTTACAGGCTATAATTCTTTTCATTTGAATGATTCAACAGATCGCGCCGCATCCAGACTACTCCACATGCAAACCTAAAGATAATATTTTATTTAAATAGCACTCAATCCTCGGACTACGGTGGTTTTTATTACAGCACAGCACTTCTTGCATAACATTTCAGTGGTTTTCTACATTATTCATACCATTTACATACGTTTTATCTACATAGGAGTTTTCTCATAAATCAGATAGTAACATAAAATTGACTTCGTTAGAATGGACTTCGGATATAACGGACAAAGTATTTTTAAATCATACTAATATTATCTATTTAACACATCAGTATATTTAAATATTCCTTAACCTCAGAGCTGCCTTGACAATGTCCTGGAGGAGAATTACGATAAGTCTGATCATTATAGCGCCTCAGAACAATCAGTAGACGGCATTGGTGATGAAAACGAAGATAACGAACCGCTGATAAATCGTGTCAAACATTTTTATGGGAAAATCAATTTAGATAGAGCAAAACTGAAATACATCCATCATCCCGTACACGTCAACTTAACATAGTTGTCAAAGTATCTGCTTTCAAAACCAAACCTCAAAGCATCGGAACACAAGCAGATCTTTATGACTAATATTATACGCTGAACAAATAAAAGACTTGCTAAAATAAGACCCAAGTGCACAAATCAAGATAAAACTGAGCTGAAAGATTTTGATATTATCGACTTAAAAGCTTTTATTGGATGCCTTGCGTATACCTCGAACTTCAAATCAAACCATGAAAATCTGGACACATTATTTGCAACTGATGGCACTGAAAGGGTAATATATACAGGGTATATTCCGACATTTCAGCGCCTTTGTCAATTTGATAATAGAATAACGCATAAAAAACAAGAGTTCGTGGAACTGCTTATGTCGGCATTTTCAGAAAACGATCTTGGTCGGTTAATGTTTAGTGTGGCATAATTGGTGATAAATTGATCGGTCCATACTTTATTGATGGTATGCTGAATGGGGAGAAGTACCAAAATTTTTTAGATGGCGTCTTACCAACGTTGCTTGTCGATTTGAGCAGGGAAGAAAGACAAAATATGTGGCTGCAAAATGATGGGTGTGCAGCACATTTTTTATATATTGCACGTGAAGCTTTGGAAAGGGATTATGCTGGGCGATGGACTGGAAGGGAAGGTCCAGTTACTTGGCCTGCCAGATTACCTGATTTAACACCTCTTGATTTTTTTTTGTGGGGCGTCCTTAAGGATAATGTTTATCGCGAAGCACCGACTACGCCAGACAACATGAAAGAGCGGATAAAAAATGCATGCAGAAATAGTAGCCAAGAAATCCTTTTAAGATATAAAGAAAGTTTTAGTAGAAGGGTTAATAAATGTATTGAAGTGGGTGGGGAAAAAAAAAATAAAATAAAAAATTGGCTGTGACCTTCATATGACCTTAAAAATAAGGTCAAGGTCAAAAAATTGTCATATGGTTTCCCCCTTCGCACAGAATAATTTTCATTTGGTTCATTTTTAGGTAAAATGAGCCGTTTTCGAGATAATCGCTTGTCTCACGTAAATGGACCACCCTGTATACGGCTGTAATGAGTCGTGAAAGATTTGGTATACTATTATCATCTTAACGGTTTGATAATCCCGAAGATCGTGATCAACGCAAGAAAGAAAAACCTGTAGCCGCAGTTTTAGAAATATTTCAGCAATTTATCCATAACTGTCAAGATTGTTATGGAATTGGATCATATGCTTGTATTGACGAAATGCTTGTTAGTTTTCAAGGGAGTTAAAATAATATGCTTGTCGGATGCCTGGACAAGTTACCTGTACAACGCATATATGTATATATTGTGGCAGAAACACTGATGGTATTGGACTATTACCTGAAAAGCAAAGGTTTTCAAAACCAACACAATAAACGTAATACGGATTGTTAAACCAGACACAACATAACAGCGGACAATTGGTTTTCATCGGCAGAGCTCGCCGAGTTGCTCTTTTCAAAAGTATGAAGTACGAGTACGTACGTTCGCTCATTAAGAAAAAACAAAAGGGAAATTCCAAGAGAATTTTTACCGAACAGACAAAGAGAAGTGGGAAATACAATGTATGGATTTAGAGAAAATTTGACCACAATTTTTAAGTAAATCACAAGACTAAAGCAACCATTTTAATTTTTTCAATGTACAATAGAATTCTCAAGTGATCCTGAGAATAACAAATCGGAGATAATAGAATTCTATAATAAGACTAAAGATTCACTCGATGAAAAATACGCTAAAAGCTCTACACTTGTTGTATGGCAATATGTTTTCAAATAATTGACATATCTTTGTTAACGCATACATTCTACACCAAAGCTATAGATACAATCCAAAAATACCAAAGAAATCATCATTAGTTGAAGAACACATGAAAAGACAAGTAGCCAACAAACTGATAATATAAACACATAATATATTTCGAGAAGTAAGGGACAATATTCGTCGGATTATTGGAATTCCCGAAGAGCACGAAAATTATATTATTCCTGTCCAAGAAAGGAAAACCGTACGACAAAACATCTATGCTTTGAATGCAAAAGACCTAAGATGTCTACAATGTACGAAGTCCATCTGCGTAAACTGCACTGAAAAACTTTAACCTTTACATTGTGCTAAAATATTTTAGATTTAAGGTTTTGTTATACGCTACTTTTTTCTAGCTTTGTTATTGTATTCTTTAAAATGTTTTATACAGAGAGATCGAAAAGTCGCACACAGCAAAATGAATTTATGTTTAATAGTACTGTCGATGAATTATTTTTATGAATGTGGATCAGTTGCTAACAAGAAGAAATCCGGGAGAGTAGCCATTCTGACCGACGAGACACTGAATAAAATTCGAAATGTGATGCTCAGCACACACTCAGATTTTCTATGGAACTGTTCAGAAATCGATGAAAAAATTCAAATTTTGTGCATATCATGTTCGCAGTGTATAGGAATTGAAGAACACCTTAGTGGATATGTGAATTTCTGTGCGATTTTTCGTTTGAACTGGTCTTGGGAAAACAACTAATTTACAAAGCAGTGAACTATGCAAATTTACAAACGTCCAGTGACAAGTTTCCATATCAATAGTATCTAGGGTTGTTGTCAGTAACACATGTGATGCTATCACACCAAAGCCAATTGAAATAATTCAAAGAAACTACTATTTGCAGATATATTTAATTTGATGTGCGTGACTTTTCGATCTCTCTGTATAATAAATACATTAAAATTATACCAATGCTATTTTTTTACTTAAAAACATGACTGCCCCCGATTTGAACCATACTTCAAAACAGATCGCTTTATCATCATAAATTTGGTAAGCATTTTAAGTAATTACTCAGAAATGTAATTCTTAATACTTCAAAGAATATCTAGAAAGACTGGTTATAAAGTAGTCTGCCGACAGGAGACTACAACAACACACTGAAGATGTCAGGTGAGATCTTGGAGCCAATAGGAAGAACGGATGAAATCTCGGACCAACCACACCAACACATACTTCCCCATACGTGAAACACTACGCATTAACACTGGTTATGATATATATAAGTATTTTAGGAGTTTATTACTAGAGTTTATTATTAAGTTTAGCCGATTTAGCCGTCTTAAAAGACACCCGACTAAACTGAAATGTTTCCAGTTGTAGGTCGAGTGATACTTCTAGTGACAGTGCTAGGCCGCGGTAGTTAGCACTAGATATCACTGTGTTGAATATTTTTATTGAACTGAAACTAGAAGCTAGGTCTGAAGACGCACGGCTAAACCCGAAACATTCTAGTTCTAGTGTTAATTTCAGTTTTAATTGTTATTCTGACGTCACGAACGGTCCTTCGAATTGT